AAGGAGATTTGACAAATGTCTGTACAGGTCCCAAATGAGCTGCAAAGGTTGAGTCCCTACTCCCTATCAATGTCGAACCCTCATTGACAAGCTGTGAGCTTGGCCAAGTACAACGTTGACTTCGGAGCGAACAAATGTGACACGAGGTGGGATCGCCAATTGGCATACCGGTAGTCTTTTAGGCCTTTGACATCATGGGCTCCCTAAGATGGGCAAAAGTCCAGTCAAAACTGGAAACCTATCCGTTTCAACTATGTTTAATATAAATCCTTGTGACAGCGTCTGTATCGGATGCTCTGCGCATCTTTTTGCGACTTGAGTGGCAGAGAAAGAATGAGCTGAGGAGGCTCCAGGAACATTCTCCAACAATCTGCTCTGATTTTTCAAGCATAATTCTGTAGCAATCTATTTGAAGAAAGTTTAGCTGGAGAAGATTCCAATGCGCGCCACTGATTCAGCAATCTGATCAGCAACCCATTGGGCCCGAGTCATCTGCCGATCATCTATGTACACCAGGCCCTTTTTGAACACCAATTGATTCTGAAAAATGCCTCGTTCGTTGTTCTGCGGCGCTGGTGGCCACTCATCACAGAGCCTAATCGGAAACAAGGGCAACTTGTGGCCACGAGCAAATTCAAGCTCATGGAAAGTTTCATATCTTACACCAGTGTATGCACCATATTCTGAGGTGCAAAATGTTACCATGCCTTTGGCACGGGCCAATCCTATCCGTGTCAGGTCAGCAAAACTTTGGCCGACGGTTGCTTCAACCACGAAAACCGGTATGTTTCGAGCTTCCAGCTGCTTCTTCACTGCCCTCATATACGCAATAACCCTCAGTCATCAACCCCACGAAGCATTGGAAATCTTGACTATGTCGCCCCCTGTTCAAAGCAGATCCGATCCCCAAAACCACACATTAAAACACATCAATCAATAACTGTTTGAGGCAAGAATCTCATCATTGTTGAAGCGTGCGCTCAACAACAAGTGTCCTTGCTGTGCCGCCGCCTAAGAACTGGCAGCAGCTTCCAAAGCGTCAGTCATAGACACACTGAGGTTTCGAATGGTGTGCCAAGACAAGTACAATGTCCACAAGTACCCAAAATCCTGAATCAATGGAGTGATTCGAAACAAGATTGCAGTCCTTGTTTGAATACGGAAATTGTTTTCGAGGGACAATGTGGTTTTGGAATGTTATGGGTCAGTTGGCACCAAACTAGCTGATGTTGATTGATTTTCATACCCCAAAACATATGACAATTAGTTTTGATCCATCCCAAAGATCCTGAGTTCCCCACCGATCGCATGTCAGTCGAGGCAGCTGATGCCTGGCAGCACGGCACACGTCTTGCACAGCGAGATGGATCTGGAGATGGATCCATCCCCAACATGAAGATTTGACTGCTTCATGTCCCAATAACAATCGAAGTTTCCTCTTAAGTATATTTTACAATGACATGTCTACAAAAAGATCTAAAAACAGATATTCACTGAACCTGGGAAATCAACAAATGCATCCCTGAGCAGATTTTATGTCGAAGGTTTCTCCTATTGATTTTCTTCTGCTGCAATGGCGGCGGCAGGGGTGGTGGCACGGACGAAGCTTTGGCCATGATAAATACCCATGCGCACGGCGCACACCTTATCCTCTGTTTACAGGCATGATTCTGCGACTATGATGCAACAACTAAAGCCGCCTAGTCTGCTTGGAATGATGCCATGTCCTTTTGTGAAATTATTTTGCTGTTTAATTCTTTTTTCTCACTCAGGCGTCACTCAGGGATAATTGTCGTTCAATCATGTTCAATCTATACTTTTGCTTTGTATTTGAACTTAGTTTCATACCAGCTTCTACAAGTTCCACTACCAAATCCGATTTTCTTTTGAGCCACCCGTCGAGATGTTCGTCCCCATTTCTCAAACTCCTGCAGACCTTCATGAGACAAAGCGATTCCCAAATCGCTTGGCCAGCCTTATCTGATTGGTATCGCGTTGGCGTCCATGGCTCTGCTGACCTATACGGCGACAAACGTTTCTGACAGCAAAGGCAACTGTGGGCTTTGCAAATGACACCCTATAGCAACTCCCCTGCTACTTGGACTTGTTGGTGACTAGAGTAGGATGTTCGTATATGTTCGGATGCTGTGGATGGGACAGAACAAAGCTAGCCACCAATCATTTTGAACTTAAGATCAGCCATCTGCAATATGGCAACAGCCCGCAGCACAAGTTTGAGGCAACATCAAAGCATGGGCCTGGATTTCAAGAGGTCCACAACTTCTCTGAGACCATCGAGGACGTCTTCAGCTTTCAGAGCTGTGGCTTGGAGCTTTGCGCCTTTGACCTTAACCACGTGGTGAGACCATGTAAGGTGCAAGTCCATGCTACGGCATCTTGGAAAGCCCCTGCCTCGTGGTTGATGACTGCAATGCTATCAATCCTCTTCGGCAGCAAGGACCCCTGAACACAAAGGCAGGCATTCAAAGCACATTATCAAGCACCAGCCAGTGGTGAGAAACTGGAGCGGCTCAACGGTACCGCATCCACAGATTTGAGTGCGGAATAAAGAGAATGGTTGAACGTCCGTGCAAGCACTTCTGGGTATAGTTTCCTGTTGTCTGTGTGCAACCTATAAACGCCATCTTATTAGCTCCCGGCGCCACTTAGGTTTGTTAAAGAAGTCCTCATCACTATCAAAATCGGGAGCCCATATGCCATATGCTTGCTCAATATTAACTCGACTCTTGACTGACAGGCCTGGCAAATGTTCGTTGGGTAAGGTGTCGGGACGAAGGATACGTCAAGGTCATGATCAAGCAAAAGAGGTTGTATGGCCTGCCACGTGGAGGTACTGTGCTATCTGCAGCAATGGCTGTTCTGCAGCGATTCAATCCTCGAAAGTGGTACCCTTTTATCTCTGTTCATAGACGAAAACGTTTCTGCTAAAACAAAAGATGAAGGACACAGAATGCTTGTCATACGCTGTTGACCATTTAAGCATACTTCAAGGGATTTCAAGGGTCTTGGGGCCTGCTGTCATATCCTGTCACTCGTGCCGCTCACACCCTTTCCTTAGAAGGCCTTTTCGGGAAAGTTCAGATCTGCCAGCAGTACCGTTGGCAGCTTCTCGCCCTTGACAATCCCAGCTATGCAATCGGCAAATTCTTTGCGAGCGCGCCCAAAAGGAGCACCGGGTAGATGCCTTGACGGAGGGGTGTTGAGTGTGCAGTTCACATTGAGTGGAGCGGTTTCACACACCCTCTTGGAAAGAGGTGCAGCCAAAGCACGTTGTCACAACACGCAAAAGGCCCATTCCAGCATGGTGGAAATGGGCCTCAGTCACCACCTGCACTGGCAAAAGAAGAAAGAAACAAAACCTTGCCTACACCGGCTAAGTGTATGGTACCAGCTTCAAGCAAAAAAACCGCCTTCTTGGAATTCTCTCTGAAGGCGCGATGAAAATGAATACGTTCCCGGTAGTAAACATGCTCCGAATGGAAAAGGATTGCCTGCAAGGGGCGGATACAAATGCTGAGTCCAACAATTGCCAGAGGTATGAGGCAAAATGCTGCGATTTTCTGTTGGATGTTGGATATGGGACCCGGATCATTTTGAAACACCGGATAAGGATCATTTTGGAACACAGTGGATAAGGATCATTTTGAAACACAAACGCCCCGGATAAGGATCATTTTGAAACACATCCAAGATACTGCTGTTTAAGACATCTGGAAGGCATAGCATTTCTTTGTAACCACCATGGCGCTTGTAACACCACAGCACATTGATGAAACCCTAGCAAATCAGCTCTTCAAACAAAAACAATCAAAAAAAACAAGTTAGCTCTTACAAGGAGATTCATCCCTATCATAAATGCAATGTGACCGCAAAAGGCTTGAGTCTTTTCCCGTCAGCCATCTATTTGTGGCAGCTTTGTCCGGCAATTCATGAGGATCTCGTTCGAGACACGTATCAAAAAAAAATAAAAATGCATCACAAAAAATATCCAGCACGCATCAAAAAAAATATATATGCATCAAAAAAAATATCCAGGTGCCACTGTGTGAGACCTCACGGGTTTCGTGCTGCAAACCTAGATCAAAAAAAAATATCCGTATCAAAAAAAAATATCATAGTAGTAGTAGGAGTAGTAGTAGTAGTAGTAGTAGCAGTAGTAGTAGTAGTAGTAATAGTAGTAGTAGTAGTACTAGTACTAGTAGTAGTAATAGTAGTAGTAGTAGTAGTAGTAGCAGTAGTAGCAGCACTAGCAGCAGTAGCAGCAGCAGCAGTAGTAGTAGTCGTAGTCGTAGTCGTAGTCGTAGTGGTAGTAGTAGTAGTAGTAGTCGTCGTCGTCGTCGTCGTAGTCGTAGTAGTAGTCGTCGTCGTCGTCGTCGTAGTCGTAGTCGTAGTCGTAGTCGTAGTCGTAGTCGTAGTAGTAGTAGTAGTAGTAGTAGCAGTAGTAGCAGCAGGAAAAAAGAAAGGAATAGTAGGTAGCAAGGGGAACCGGTTTAAAAATAAAAGCGGGTGGGGGGGTGCAGGGGGGAGGGCGCAGCGCCTCCCCCCGCAATGCGTACCAAGAGAGAAGCACATAGGCACACGTCTCAATGGATATATTGTAAGAACGAGAAGATCAAGAAAGAAGCACATAGGCACAGGTCTCGATGGATATCAGCAAAGATGAAATTAACCCAAATAAACGATGATGCTTATGCAAAAAGAAAGGAATAGTAGGTATAGCAAGGGGAACCGGTTTAAAAATAAAAGCGGGTGGGGGGGTGAGGTAGCTATCCCTCTGTTAGGGGAGCCCTGGAAACTAGTATACAACACCTGCGGACAAGAAGTGGCTGCTGCACTCTTTTTCTAGGCTGCGAGCTATTGCTAGTCTTGAGCCATGCGGAGTGCGCATGAAAGATATGAATTAGGTGTACATGTCAACATGCATGACAGCATTGTGTAGACACGTAAACAAAAAGAAATCACAAACAGACACAAATTTTCTTCGTGTCGGAACATGCAAATCTGTTTCACAGGTAGCGCTCAGCCTGTGATCTGCTGTGAGACGGTCCGAAGACAAAAACAAAACTGTACAAAAAGCTACTTTCCGCTGTTGGCAAGCGGTTGTTCTCGGCTGTTGGCAAGCGACCGCAAATGCGGAACATTGCAATTTTTGGGGCTACAAGCCCATAGTGAAACAGTAACCGTAGAAACTCAATTCGTTCCTCCTTCTGAGCTCACCGGTCTGATGAAAGAAAATGGACTGGTCTGGTGTTTGCGGAATTAGGTCAAGCCACGATCCGTCGTATTTTTGAATCCAACGCTGTCTTGGTACTTGGTACCCTGGGACGTATTCTACATTAGAGGTATGAGGATTCACTCTATAGTATGACGGCTGATCATAGGTGTAACCGTAATTACGGTACCCGGAAGAGCTGGAAGCTGTTCCTTGGTCAAGCCATTGCGAACCCGTCATGCGGGATGGAGGCGCAGGAGGCTCAGGTACGTTGATTGGCCTTTTTCTGGTTGTTTGCCTCTGGTCGGCCTGCTGCGATCTCTCTCTCCACGGCGGTGGAGTCTTCGCTGGACCTTGACGGATCGGGTGGCGTTCTTGGCTGTTGTGAACCTAATGTTCGTCCGGTCGCCGGAACTGGAGGTGCCTTGACAGGCGGCCAAGCACTTGAGGAAGATCCCGACGACTTCGGTTCTGATGATTGTTTGAGAGACATCGGTGCTGCTTTGTATTGCACTGGTTTAGGATTCACTGCTGGACCTCGAGCAGGTGCCGGAGGCGGTGCTGGTGTTTCAGTCTTGGGGCGATAGCTTCTGGTCCTGCTGACCGATCGACTTCGAGTCCGTCAACATTCCGGTGTGAATCAGTCCGCAAGGGCGGAACACTGTCTCTCCTTTCTTCTCGTTTGTCGAGATATCCTTGAGTTTTCTGCATCCATTTTTCACGTCTTTTATCTTCAGATTCCTTGGATCGGATGCGCATATTTTTCAATGATTTTAACTGGGCATATGTAAGTAGAGGTGAATGCCATCCACAGTCCTTCTCAGCCAAACCAAGATCATATGCCAGCAAATATTTTAACTGTTCAACATCATTCAGCATAACTTCATCGGAGAAAGCTGATCCTGCGAATCCATCCGCAGAAGCGGAATCTTCTTTGGCACGTGCTTCCGTGACAGCGATCTGCTTACCGTAACAAAGAGAAATTAAAAGCATTGAATCACAATCAGCATCTTCTCCACGCATGCTTCGGATGTAATCAGCGGCAGTGGTCGATGAACCTACGTTATACGTAATACGGTTGATCGGACTGCGGTGAAGGTTGATCTGCTAGAGAAAACGTTCAAGGATGTCGATCATGATGCATGTCCTGAAATCGGAATGGTCATCAGACTTAAAACTTCTCTGTGCGAAAAGGTTGCCGTCGCCGGACAAAAAGTCACACTGGTGCTCGACACAGCTTGCGACAAATTGAAGCCATTTCTGGCATGTCTCTTGATAAGCACCACTCCATGCATATGACGAAATATGAAAAACCGCTACACGGCATTCAGCCAACATGAGACGTCGTACGTCATGGGTGTCAGCACCAAGATTCACTTCACAGACTTCCACGCCGGAAACGGCAAGATCATCATCTCCGTCGATCTCGCAGATCGAGTGATCAAGAAAATCAAGTGTTGATGCAAGTGGGCGATCATGCTGATAAACCGCAGATTCGGCATTTTTCTCGATGTCCGGTTTCGGAACACGAGCGCCAGAAGAAGGGTCAACAAATTCTCCTGACGTATTCATGCCATGGCAAAGGCGAAAAATGGCGCCATGCAAAATCCAGAAAGGCGAATCTTTATTGGCTGTTTCAATCTGGTGTTGACATAAAAGTTCAATAAATGAGCCTGCATCATGTGAGCCACGGAGAAAAATTGCAACGGACTGTGATTGAATTGCCGGGTGGACTACCATGCCGATCATCCCATACTCTTCGGCAAGTTCTCGATGGACGGCAATTCCTCCGTATTCGTCGGAAGCTTCGCACAAGCACACAATATGGGCCGCATTACGGAACACTAAATGTGGCAAGGCACGATGGTTAATATCTGTTCTGACCCATTTTGGAAATTTTGAACAACCTCCGATATACGGAATACGGTTGATGTGACCAAGGTTCAACGTCAAAATGCCAAGCTGATACGTGTCCTTCTGAAATTCATGGATGTTCTCCTTAGTGCGCTTGGAAACACCGAGGACTGCTCTTTTTCCAAGAAGGCACTATCTGAAGAGCTCCAATAAACGGAGAATCTCTCCTTCCTTAAGGTCACCGCCGTCAGGGTACTTGAAGAAAGCCTCAGGTCGCCAGATCGGAAGTGGCGTCTGGTCCTGGGCGTCAACAAAGTGCTGCTGGAGAGAAGGGATTCGACTTCCAAATGGCATTTCATAAATATATTCTGTATAGTCGAAATCCTCAATACCATGCCGTGCAAAAGACTGCAGGTAGGTATTCCCCATGGATCGGCCTTCACGCAGATGCGTGATAAGTTCCGAGAATTTTTCCTGACGGTTTTGAGCATGCTCGCTTCGTGTGGCTCCGAAATACGAAGATTCAGCAAGAACAGCATCAACCAATTCTTCGATATCGAAAGGCGACTTGGATGAACCGATGCTGTCTGGCATAAAATCGGCGGACAACTCGGAGGAATAATTAACAATGCTATGATTGCAGGCTAAGCCGCAGGTGCGGCATTCCAAGCAATAGGCAAAGCCACAAGGGTGGCACCAGAACATTGCCTCTGCACTTCCGCATTCGGAAAAATTCTTACAGCATTGAGGACCCGCAGGGCGAGGAAACCATTGAATTTCGTCTGTATCCTTTTTAAACTTTGTGAAAAACTTTTGGGCTGCGTCCGCATCACGGAACAAGTCTTTTGCCTGGGCGTTCATTTCACGGCGTGCCATTGTCTTAACAACCTGCCTACGGCCGCCCCAAGGAGATTTGGCCTGCAGATCAATTCCAGTGGCGGTGTCATAGGTGCCGGGTGCTTGGTCGGAGCTAGCCGCAGTGGCGGCATCCTTCTGTTTCTTTGGCATAGGCTTGGCCTTGATGGGCCTCTTGGGAGCTTCGCTCTCCGAGGCGGAAGACTGCTCCTTGTTCCTCGCTTTGGCGAGATGTTTCTTAAATCGTTGGGAAATTTCTGCCTTGAGTGTTTTTACCTTTTTGTCTGCCTCTGTCTCAGGCGGGCCAAGCTCTTGGTTGTTCGGAGTGACGTTGGTGCGCACAGGCCTGGCCGGACCGGGATCGGTATTACGGAAACTTTCCAAAAACTTAGATACTACTGGAACCTTTTCAATCTGTTCTGCCACATACTCCACATATTCGGAACGTGTCCAGGTGAAACCATCTTGTTCATTTTCATTCTTTTTCTCCCAGTAAAGTTGGTGGTGGCAGACATGCATTGCAAGGTCAATATCTGA